GTAAATTACAAACACCTCCATGTATGATCAATTTACAAAAAATCCCTCTGGTTTGGATAATGACATCTTCCCCTTCAACTATGATTTTTTCTTACACCCCACCCTTCTGGTGTCAAATTCAACATAATCATCTAGATTTCGTAAAATTTGTACTCGTTTTGTGTAAAAATACAGTTTTCGATGAACTACAATCTGATATATACAAGCCAAAACATACATATTATAATAATCTTGCTTCAAAATGTAGAGTTCGAATGAGATAAAACATGTACAAAAGTGATAATAATCCATATAATCTCGAAGATTCCACTAAATTTGAGGAGTTGAGGAGTGGTTGTAATTATCCAAATAATAGGGGAATTTTCATAATTTGACCATACCTCAGGGGTGGTTGTAATTTACCCTTATTATTATTTCAAAGATTCATCAAGAAAAAAACAAGGAAATTAAGAATTGTGGCCATGCTTGCTAACGGCGTCGTATCGTAAGCATATACTTTTAGCATCTTTTCATTTCCTCTTTCCCACTCCAAATTCCTCTCAACCAAGACAATTTTGACCCACCCCCACTCCAACCACCCCACCCCCACCCCAAACACCACTGTTCCGAAATCGTATATAAAGCGTGTCATTTACATATTCTGTAACAAAATCAACCTGAAAATCTTCCACCGTTTATTCACAATTTACTCTGCGAAAACCAAAACCAGAATTCCCTCACCAGCAATTGATCACTCAATTTAATTCTGTTGTATAACGCAATTACTACGTCTTCAATTCAGGCGGCTGTTGTGTGGCCGGAAGCAAATCTCCGACATGCACGACGGAGGACACCACCACCACCAGCGCCGCCGCCAGGATCAAGGCGAAGCGCTTTCTCTGGATTTGAAGAATCTGAAGGTGTTATCGGCGCTCGGCCGCGGCGCCAAGGGAGTGGTGTTTCTCGTCAGAACTGAAACTGGAGAATTGCTTGCGCTTAAAGCAATATTACGATCTTCAATTGAGAAGGCGAAGAAGAAGAAGGTCACCACCGGCAACAGCCACGGCGGCGGTGAGTACCGGAGAATCTGCTTCGAGAGAGAAGTGCTCGCCTCCTTACACCATCCGCTTCTGCCGGAGCTTCATGGAGTTTTGATCACTGATAAAATCGTCGGTTACGCCATGGATTACTGCTCCGGCCGTGATCTGAATTATTTGAGGAAAAAGCAGACCGAGAAAATGTTCTCCGATGATATCATTAGGTAAAATTAGGTTTCCGATTGATTTTATATAATTTCAAGTGTTCGATTGAAAATAAATAAATTAGGCAATTAATATTTGTGCGATTTTGCTTTCCAGATTTTACGCTGCAGAATTGGTGCTGGCTTTGGAATATCTACATAATTCCGGCATCGTTTACAGAGATTTGAAGCCGGAAAATGTTATGGTTCAGGAAAACGGTCATTTAATGCTGGTAGATTTCGATCTCTCAACCAAACTCGCCGCTAAATCTCCTGAAAATCGTTCAGTCTCCTCCGAATCGAAGCCGGAAACCAAGCCGAAGAAGAAGAAGAGATTCGGTTTTTTCTTCAATCGCCGTGACTCGGGGATTTCGCCCGACGACTCGGTTCAGCGTGAGGAACTCGAATCGGAATCAGTGAGTTCGGAAGCGGACTCGGTGGAGAAATCGAACTCGTTTGTCGGCACGGAGGAGTACGTGGCGCCGGAGATCATTCTGGGAGACGGCCACGATTTCTCCGTCGACTGGTGGTGCTTGGGCGTCATGCTGTACGAGATGCTCTACGGAACGACGCCGTTCCGGGGAGTCAACCGGAAGGAGACTTTCTACCGGATTATTACGAAAGCCCCGAATCTGACGGGGGGATTGACGCCGTTAAGGGACTTGATTGGAAAGTTACTCGAGAAAGATCCGGTGAAGAGGATTTCCGTTCGTGAAATCAAGGGCCACGACTTTTTTAGCGGCGTTGACTGGGAAAGAATTACGGAAATGCCCAGGCCGCCGTTTATTCCAGAACTGACGGACGTTGAAAATATCAGAAATTTCTTTTCTTTATTTGAGAAACAAAACAAATTTTATCATATAAATTAAGCATCTATAAATTAATAGAGTAAAACCTACTAACAGAATTCTATTAGTTTAACGAAATATTAAATTATCGAACTAGTAAATTTATCGAGATTATATTATACAACTTTTCCTTGTCCCGCATTAAATTAGCAAAAGACAACACCATATGCTTTTCCTACAAATTACAGTTGGAAGATCGTGATCGGGTATATTATATATATACATATACATACACACACAAACACACACGCATCAAACCTTAAAATCTTCATCTAATTCAATTTTTTTTCTTTTTCCTTTTTGTAATTACTCAATTTAATTTTCTTTTCAATAAACTAAAAATTATACTCCATCATTGAACCTTCACAATCACAGTTACATACAGAAAGGCTCCTGATATATATATAAATATATATATATACATATACACGTATATATATATTGTATGTGTGTGTGTGTCACTGTGTGGAAACCAGCTAATACAATGGAAAAGCTGTGGCCACAGAGTTTCTAAGGTTGTAACAATTCAATGCACTCATAAATACTACAGCAATCAACATCCAACGCACCATATATATATATAATATAATATAATATATAATTTCTTAATATAATTATAGTATTTACTATTTAGGCTTCTTCCTGTAAATCACTTTTACTTAAATTTGGACGCAGTCACAATTTATACATACTTGAGTGGATACATTCTGAATTTACTAAATCAAACTCATTAAATGTGAATATTGGGGGAAATTTGGAGGAGTTTTTAAATAAATTGTGTTCGTTAAAATTGGTGTGCAGGTTGAATAATTCATGTGATATCTTCCGACTGAGTAAATTACAATCACCTCCGAGGTAATGTTAAATTATGAAAAAAATCATTATGTTTGAGTAATTACGACTATTACTCAATCATGTATTTTATTACGAAAAACCCATCCTTAGAAGGTAAATTCAACATTGTAAGAGTGAACGTGCAAGACAATACACATGCTAAAGGGTGGTTGTAAATACTCAAACAAAAAAGTTTTTTGTTAATTTGACATTGCCGTAAGGGGGGACCGTAATTTGCGCATAAGATTAAGACAAAAATAAGAACGTGGTGGAGATTCATAGAATCGTAAGGACGATAAATAAGTCTAAAATCAGTAACGAATTTATTTCGAAGATTATAGATTCATAATATATTGATGAAAAGATCTCTTAAAAGACCGAATAATATTGTTACTTCATTATTGGTCCAAGACTTGTAAATTAAACTTGAACTCAATTAGTTAACACCAATTCAGCCTAAACAAACTCAACTACACTACATTTATTGTTTAATTAGTCGAATTGTTATATATACAATTATCCCATTTTATTCATTTTTTATTATTCAAACCTAGAGAAATTATCCGGTTCTTGATGAATTAAAAAGTTAGAAGAAGTCGTTAAGAAGAAAAGTCAAAATAAAAAATAATTTTAGAACAAATCTTTGACTTATTGTCGCCAAATTTCTTGGGGAATGGTGCAAGTGTAATACTAATACGCACAACTTTTAAGGTCCTAAGTAGACTTTATTATCATTATTTTATTTATTTATAGTGTAATGAAATGTTAGACACTTGTTGTTAGCGCAATTGTTGACCAAAATTGCTGCGTAATTGTTTTGAACTAACATACTTCGTGCGAATAAAAGAGGAATTTGAAAATATATTATATGTATGGTTTGCCTTGATTCAAGGTTATGTTAATCTTTTGATTTGGTCTTTTGTGATTTTGTCAAATGATGTAATCAATAATAGTGTCTCCAAAATATGATGAAAGGTTGAAGAATAATTATTCATGTTTAGAAAATTCAAGATAGCCTGCATTTTGCCGGCAATCATATTATTTTTTTAATTCTACATTGTTAATAGACTTTATCAAACTAAAAATTGTTCTTTTTTTTTTCAAATGTTTTTCTTAGTATCGACCAATTTTGTTTACTAGCGGAGTTAGACTTTTAAATCAGAGAAAACCTAATTGCATTAAACAAATTATGAGGTAAAAATTGGTAGGGGGGCCATGCCCCCCTCTAATCTATGCTGGCTTTGCCACACATTGTAGCGGTAGGAGAAATACTGAAATAGACTCTACTATTAAATTTGAATTTTATTAACTTTAATTTTGGAATATTATCTACGATAAAATAAATAAAATATATATTGAGTAATATTGTTGTTGTTATGTTTTCTATTATTCTTATTATTACTAGTTACTACTATTGTTGAGTGAGAGAGGGTGAGAAAATAATTTTTGGCGAGATTAGACGGAAATAGGGAGAGGGAGGGGAAACTTCCGAGAAAGACCGTTCCATTCGATTGGAGAAGCTTTTAGGCGATGTTAGTAATTTATTTTGAAAAATTGTGTTAGACATAACAAATCATTTATTTTAAATTACTTGTGCAGTAAATACCTTTTTTTTTTACCTTACTAAAATTCCACACCAAACTCTAATAGATTGTGAAAATATCGAATTCAAATTTCAACATAATATAAAGTTCAAAGATATTCAATCAGATCACAGTTGAAGATAATTAGGTCAGAAAATTTCATGCATCGTATAGTAGTTCTTTTCAACTAAGTAAATCTATTTGAATTCAATCGAAAAAAAGAAGATTCTGTCTTCGAAAACGGCATTAAAATAAAAAACAGCTATAGCAAAATCGGAACTATAGACCAATTTTTTTATCGCATATCCAAATTAAAATAGTAAATCTAAACCCAAAACATTTTTACGTCCAAAAAATTTGTCTTTTCAGTCTTCTGATTGCTATCTAAATTAACATCTAAAAAGAATAGGTAATAAAGAACTTACTCGTCTTCCTGGCTTCGTAACCTAGCTAATTTGTTAGTTACAGCAACATCCAGCTGTGCAGCCCTCTCGACAATATCCTTCCTTTTCTTGGTAGAAATACTATGTGCTATTTCAGCACAATATTTCCTGATATTTTACGTATAAATAAAAATATTCAACTCCAACTCAGTGTTGTTAATAAAAGAATTGGATTAAAAAATTACGAAGAAATGAAGCAAACCTATTGTGCATCATAAGAACTTCGAGCTCTTCAACATTGTGGACAAGAAACTTCTTAAATCCGTTGGGAAGAAAATGACGCGTTTTCTTGTCTGAACCGTAACCAATGTTGGGCATAAGAGTGCATCCTTTGAACTTTCTCCTTACACGGGAATCAATACCCTTGGGCCTGCGCCAATTAGCCTGCACCAAGACGAACAAAAAGCTACATGCTAAGGCTGTGTTTGGATCAAGGAAAATACTAAAGAACTCTGTTTAGTTAGGAGGTCAAATGATTTGCGGAAAAAAGTGAAAATATATTTTTGTGACTAAAATCAATTTTATCGCCATTCTCCTTAGGAACCAAATACACTAGTGATTTTCAAATTCATTGTCATTTGCTTTGGCATTTTCATTTTCCTTTATTTCAGAATCCATGAACCAAACAGAGCTTAAAAGTCCAAAACAAATGTCTTAATACTAGAATTATAGGCAATTTGCACGTTTCTTAGCGAGTTTGTTAGGTATAAATCTCAAGAAAAGGGTACAAACTCTGTTTAGCGTAACACAAATCGGAAAAATGTAGGAGGTACAAACCTTTACAGAGACGAATCGATCGCTTTGGTGCCTCGTGAACTTTGTCACACGCTTTTTGATAATCTTCTTGTTCAACAAAGGTACAGCCATGGCTTCTACAATTTATTAAAAAAAAATTACTACCGTTATACATTACGTGAGATACTCAACCACAACATCAAGCATTTCCATCACTCTGTCATCGAATTTCTAATCAACAAAATTAAACAAATACATAATTCATTAAAAACACATCAAAATCGCTCAATTTCCAAAATACAACTACTGTAAAGATTCATAGCTTAATATCGTAACAATTTGCCAAAATTCAACGGAAAATAGCTCCTACAGACATACATTTAGCTATTTTTATTATCATCGTCAGATAAAAAATTGACAGCATGAAATCGATTTCACATTCAGACAGTAAATAAACAGAATTAAGTGATAAAAGTGAACTGTAAAATTAACACTAGTATAAAATTGTTAATAAACGTAGAAAACTGCATGCAGACGCAGAAAATTGAAGGAAAATCAGGTGATTTTAACTACTGAGCAGAATCTACAGACTGATGCGAAGCGATTCGATTCCAAACCTGGTGGAGGTACGACGGCGATGCGGCAGCTACGGCTTCTCCTCCTCCTCCTTGTTGGCACAATACTCTGCGAGGAGACGAAAATGAGGGTTTTATTCTTATTTTATATTTGGGTATTAATTTTGGGCCGTTGTGATTTAATGATCCAATTAGGGCTTGTATGTTATTATAAAATAAGAATGATCCAATTTTGGGCGGTTATGATTTTATCATTTATGATTAATTTAATAATAAGAATATATATATTCATGCAAAAAACGAATATTAGATATATTATTTAGTAATATTATATATGAATCAGCAAAAGATATAAACATAATAAGTTTATACTATGTAATCCTATTAAATACACAATCCAATATGTTTTTTTTTTTGCATTTTCTTTGCTATTCGGTATAATTTAATCATTTTTATTAACTTTATTGCGATCTTTAAAAAAAATTTTAAAAAAAAAAAAAAAAAAAAAAAAAAAAGGAATCATAAGATTCACATAGTGAACAACCAAAAGACTGCTTAAATGCCAATTCAAAACACAAGGAAACACACAACATCTCATTGATTTTGCAGCAAGAATTCCAATTCTCAAGATGTGAAATAAAAACTATGTTGTTGTACTTGAGAGATTCCACAAAATGCAGATACATACATTTTTTATTTTCAAGAAAGGTCGAATAAAGTCGACTAAATCCCAGTCCAAAGTTAACGATTCTTTTCCGTTTTCAGTGATGAACATCAACCCCACCTCCCTTAGCCTTCTCTGCAGCTGCTCTCAGTTGACGCTGCTCCTCCTTGTACACTCGATTCCTTCTTTGGAACTGCAACAAATTCAATTACTATCAAATTAAGGAAATTTGATTGCTATATAAAAACTTAATACGTAAAAGAGTTTTTAAAAAACGAACATAAATCATTAACACCTAATCCACACATCGAAAGATATCTATATTCATAAGTATCTAAAAGTTTCGTATGATCTTTGCCAAAGCTAAATGAGTTGTACACATGGATATTTCAGTTTTAAGAATAAAAAAAATCAAGAAGTGTTCGTCTTGAATCACGACATTTATTCCCATATCCCAAAGAACACAGTCTTCGACTCTATATTCAGGACAGAGAATCTAAACAACAATTGAAGAAGAGATAACATTTGGATCTCACATACTCTGTTTATGCCATACTAAATATGCTGAAATGCACCTGAGTTATACTGAATTGAACTCGTCTGTATATATATATATATACACGTGTATAGTGCGATATTATCCAGTTCACACCCGGCGTAGCAGCGTAGCATCTATATCAAACCGAAATAATAAACTGAAACAACAACACACACATTTCGAAACAACAATAAGCTAGCTTGAAATAGCTTCCAATCAATCTTGAATAATACAGGTTAGAGCAGTAAATCTATACCACAATACTCTTAACAACAAAACTTTCAAACTATATCATTAAACATGGAGTAAAAGAGCAATTTCCATTTTGTCCTCTAACAACCGATCAGCCCATAATACGTGCAATTACAAACGGTGCATTCTCTAACCAATGGCATTGACTTCTCAAAATTTCATCTAAATATGGTTCAAATTTACAATTACTTAGCCAGGATCAAACTTAATCACTAAAGGAACACAAGAAAGTAATCAACTTCACTAATCTCAGAGGTGTAATCCATTTATTACCAATCAACCGGCTAATAATCATCACATTTTAACGCAAAATTCAACAATTGAAAATTACAAAAACAAAAGCTAAATTTTCAACAACTATCAAACACCATCCCACCATTTTTTTGTTTTTCAATTAATGGATCGAAAAAAATAAATATAGAAATTGAATAATGAAAGAGGAAATAATACCTCTTTAGAGTGGTTGAGACACTCGAAATAATCTTCACGGAGGAGACCGCAATCCTTAGGCTGGCGGCACTGCGACATACATTCGCTGAAATCCATCCAGAAATCATAGCATCGCCCCTTGTTTCCCGTTATTCCCCATCCCGACGCCATTTTTACCTCTTTCTCGACCTCTCTCTCTTCTCTCTCTCTCTCTAGGGCTGTAATTGCCGTTGCTCGAACTATAATTTGGGGTTTTTTTTTTCTTTTTGATATATTTTAATGGATTGGTAGGCTAAATAAATTTGGTCCGGGAATTAAAATCCCAAGCCCACTACATCGGTGATGGATATTGGCCCAAATATATATATATTTTTGTATTATTTTTAAATTGTACATATATAAAATTAATGAAAAGAGATAAAATAGTGATTTTTTAATTTTTTTTAACAGTCGAAAAAATTATTTTGATCATAGTAAAATAGAGTATAACGAAATGCATTTATCACACTTTGATTTATTTTCATATTCCATTTCTTTTTAGTTTTATTTTTTCCACATTGAAATTGGGCCAAAACAATAAATGCTTCGTCCCAACGGCCTAAAAAAAATTATTTTGATATTCGATTACTTTTTAGTTTTTTATTTTCCACATTGAAATTGGGCTAACAACAATAAATGCTTCGTCCCAACGCTCACGAGCCCAATTTCGTAATCCACTTATAACATTATTGATGGCGAGTGTCGGTGATTTTTTAGTAATCTATTTGTCATAAAATGATTGAAACAAATTTTTACGAGCCGAGCTCGAGCTTGAGTCCAATTTAACGTGCTCGAGTTCTTTGTATTTGATATTTTGAACTGAGCTCGAGCCTGAACTCAATTTGCGATATTTTTCTTAAAAAAAAATATTAATATCATTAGGCTTTTATTAATACAAAATTATAATATAAGATTAATTAAAATATAAACAACTAAGAATAAGTTCATCAGAAAGATCGAGTTCGAACTCCAAAAAACTCGAGTCCAAGTTCGAGCTTGTATCGAGCCGGCTCAACTCATTTACACCCCTAGTTTGTGGCATTCATAATTTCAGGACGAAGCCCCCCTAACAAATTCTCAAATTCTTCCACCATAATTAGGACACAATTCTACAACATGAAGTATAGTATAATAATGAAGGTAATGAAGCATAAGTATAGAATAGGAGTGTTTGGATATGTGAGGTAGGTTGTCAATCAAGTTGCAATTCCTTCAAATGGACCAAAATTAATTGTATTTTTCCGGCTAAGGAGCAAACATCACATGACTCCAAATTCTCATCTTTCACCTTATCACATTCCATGTGTGACTCACTAAAACTCAAACGCATCTTTTCTTTTCATTACATATTCTTTTTTATAATTTTTTTTTTATTTTAAACCCCCACCAATCCTACTACCCAATCGGAACCCACACAAAAACCAGCCGATCAATCACGTGACTCTAATCCAAAAAAAATAATGAATTTAAATACTTTATTTGTTTCATTACACTATATATATTATCTATGGAGTATACATGGAAGTCTTTTCCTATTTTTGTAGAACGAAACAACACAAAAACTTTAATTAATTTATAAAAAAATTGTCGTCCTTATTAGCAATGAAATTACATAGAAAGGACTTTTTAGCAAATTTTCCCACTATGAAATGTTGTCACGTGTTTTCCACAAGACTTGATATTTGTGACTTGTGAGTGCAAAGTGAAGTCAATAATTAGAAGAGAAGTAGGTCACTTGTCACATAGTAATTAAATTTATTTTTATATTAGTTAGTCATTCCATAAAATCTTTACATATATGGTAACATGATAATTACGTATCGATTTTTTTCACTATATTTATTTCAAAAAATAGACACAATATTTATATTAATTAATTGGTAGGGTAAAAAAAAATTAAAAAAAAATAATATATCAAGCCTCATCTTCTTTATACACCACCACATATCTCTATATAAACCCCCTTCATTAACACACACTTTTCTCCCCCACCACTCCGACAACTAACCATGGCCGCCACCACCACCACTCTCCTCCTCCTGATCGCCGCCGTGGCTCTGCTGATCTCGCCGGCCGTTTCTCTCACCTGCACGTCGCAGACATTTTCCCGGAGCGCCGCCAAGTTCGCAAACTGCGTGGATCTTCCAACCCTAAAGGCCTACCTCCACTGGACCTACGACCCGGCTGCGAAACCCGACCCGACTTTATCCGTGGCGTTCGTCGCTCCTCCGGCGAGCCCCGACGGATGGGTGGCGTGGGCCCTCAACCCGACCGCCACCGGCATGGTGGGCTCGCAGGCGCTCATCGCCTTCAAGGACGCCAATGGATCCGCCGTCGTGAAGACGTACAACCTCTCCTCGTACGGTCCGGTAGTCGAGTCGCCGATCTCGTACGGCGTTCTGAGAAAGAGCGCGGAATATTCCAGCGGCGTGATGAGGATATTCGCCACGCTGGCGTTGCCGGCAGGTGGTGCCGACGTGAACCAGGTGTGGCAGGTCGGTGCGACGGTTACCGATGGGGTTCCGGCGAAGCACGCTTTCGCGCCGGACAATTTGGGTTCGGAAAGCACGTTGCAGTTGTTGAGTAAGTCGCCGACGGCAGGTAAGGCTCCGGCGCCGACACATGCGCCGGCACCTACGCCGGCACCTGCGCCGGCGATAGGATCCCCCACCGGAGGAAGCTCGTTGGTGAAGGGCGGTGGATTGGGGTTGTTGCATGGAGTTTTGGTACTACTAGGGGTTTCAATTTTTGGTTTTTAATTTTGTTTGTACTTTTACGTAATTTCCAAATTTTCGTGAAAATAATATAAAATAGGACGGAATATATATATTTGCGAGTTTCATTATTTTAAGATTTTATTTAGAGTAATATAAAGTATTTTTTTGTTGTGTATCTGTATTTTTTTTTAATAATATTTATTATTCTGCCTTTTTTGAGAGGGAATTGAAATCACGCGTCGTCTATTTTAGGTCCCCGGTCAAATTTTGGACTCATTTATATTTTATATTATATTTCACTATTTGAATTTATGAAATAATTTTAATTCGAAATTAAACATGTGGCCATAAAAAAATTGAAACTGAAAAATAAATCGTGGTAGTTGGCCTTATTTCAAAATTCAATGCATAACCTTCAATACCCAACAACTTTCACAGTTTCTTTAGAATTGAAAAATCGTATTTTTATTCCAAATAGCATATATGAAATACAGAAAATGTTTGGATAAGTTCTATCTCACGTCTAATAAGTTGTTTTTAATGTCGATAAATTGTTATATCTTATTCTTATATATAATTTTTAAAGTGTTTATTGGACAATTAGCTTATAAGTTATTTTTACTGATTATAAGATATTTTATCTTAAATAAAAGATTAGTAGATATTAAACACTTTGAATAAACTGTTACATTTTATTCTTATATATAATTTTTAAAGTGTTTATTGGATAATTAGCTTATAAGTTAATTTTAATTATTATAAGATATTTTATCTTAAATAAAAAGATTGGTAGATATTAAACACTTTGAATTTTTAATAACTCCCAGCAGTTTAGTTTTTTGAAATTTTTAGATTTTTGTGAAAAAATATATCAAATACTTTGAAACAACTCTTAAATTTCTTATAAGATCTTTTTAACAATTAATAAGCTTAGCCACACACCATTTAAATGAACACGAAAGAAAAATAATTATTATTACCGTTTATTGATTCTCACAAATGGTAGATTTAGCTAATTTTTTCAAACAAGCTTTTTGAATTATGTAAGTAAACCTAATTAAACACCTAATGGTGTGTGTCTCTTCAACTTTAATTACATGCAAAAGAATAGCCTCTATCATTAATTCATTTTCTTTACTAGCATGGTCTCTTTAATGTAAATCATGTTTGTCATTTTAATTAACTTTTTAACATAGTATGATATGATTAAGATTTATCATGCGAATTTATACCATGTGTTTATCACTTGTCCCTAATGTATATATATTAATTCATATTGTCTGGTGGGTAATCAATCACCAATTGATATTAATGATATATCTAATTGGACCAACTCAATTGACCTACAATTTTTTTACTTATTGAGTCATGAATCTGATTTGGAAGAGCATTACTATAAAACCACAATCACCTTCAAATAAGATTTGAGCCGACAAATTAACATCAGACCAATCGATAAGGTATAAATAATTAAATAGTTAACTCATTTCTTAAGGTTCTATTATTCAAGCAATTCGACTCCTCGTATTATCCCGACAATTATGTACTATCTGCACGTCTGACTTGAGCGTCGGAGGGGTTTCCGCTCGACCCGACCTAGTTTACATGTATTCAGTTCGCAGGACCCTCAAGATCATCAAGAGTCTCAAAATCATCAAACACGTGAGCAATGATTCACTTTGTTCTCACAACTCATCCAACTCCAACGATTTAGGTAACCTAGTTTTAGCATCATCAGATCCCTTTAGTGTTCGATTTAGGTAATCTAGTTTTAGCATCATCAAACTAGAGAATACATTCGTTAATTTTAAATTCACTAGTATTCACCCGTGCGATGCACGGGGCGACATATTTTTGACTGAAAATACATGTCTCAAAAATAAATTTAAGCAGATAAAAATTATTACGGTCACTGAATCTAAGTACATAACGTAATCGACCAACGATAATAAAAATATGTTATAAGTGTCATGTTCTTCATAGTTATAATATAAGAATACTATTAAATATTAGTATATCGTCAAAAATAAATCTTAAAGATAATAAGAATTGCACCGAGCACCATAGGGAAATGACTGAAAATAACATCGCACCGGGGAAAAATATATAGATAAGAAACACTTGCAAAAGAATAAGTTCTTTAAAAATAAAATAAAAAACATGTTACATGAATAATTGGTAAATATGAAAATATTCTCTACCTTCAAATTCGATGAAATACTTCCTTGTACACGACATTTCTAGTAACATTGGTGAGTTCACCCGAATCCGACTTGATGAATATCTTAATGCCACCTCTGCTCTTAACTCTGGACAGTGCAACATATAGTTGATCATGGCTGAAGACATGCTGAGGAAGATACAAACCAACATGCAAAAGAGTTTGACCTTGGCTTTTATTGATCGTCATTGCAAAAGAAACAATCAACGGAAACTGTCTTCTCTGAAATTTAATTGGCAGTCCGGTAGATGGTATTAAAGTCATCCGAGGAATGAACACCATGTCACCGATATTTTTTCCGGAAAGAGTTTTGCAACTCAGAACGTGAATTGCAACCCATATAATAAGCTTTGCCCTTATGAACAACTCCGCCTGTGGACTTTGTTGCGATATGCTACATGTGGAACTCTCGTGTACATTTATGGGTAGTCCGAATCGAGAATGAATTGTTCTTCCACCGGGGAGCAATAACGATGCTATACCACTCGATTCAACGTTAATTACAATCTCTCCCTTGGAACGAACTGCAGCAGAAAGAGTTTACCCATAGAAACGTCTTTCGCGTTTCACCATGGCCATATAGAATGATTCACTTTGTTCTCACAACTCATCCAACTCCAACGATTTAGGTAATCTAGTTTTAGCGTCATCAGATCCCTTTAGTGTTCGATTTAGGTAATCTAGTTTTAGCATCATCAAACTAGAGAATACATTTGTTAATTTTAAATTCATAAGAGCGGAGATATAAGACAATTCATAGTTAAAAGAGTGGCCATAATTTACCATTAATTAAATATATATTATGAAAATCAACTAAGACTGCCAAATAAAATCGAAATTGAACTAATAGTCAAACAAGACGTAAACGCCACGATCGTTTCCACACACTGCCTAAGTTCATCACGCACATGTGAGTCAACGTTGACTTTAATTAATTCTCTTTTGCTAAATTTCTTTGTAAACGATTCGAAGACCATAAAGATAGGTAGAAAATCTATTAAAATAAAAATCAGTCCAAATTCAGGTCCGATTCCATATTCGCAAGGAAATAAATAAATAAATAATAATTATTTACATTATTTAAAGTTTTAATTTAAAAAATAATTACATGGTCTACTTAGCCGACATTTTCTCCATGATTAGTGGGTTGTGAAAACTTGTCTTAGTCTTACTTTCACTAACAAAAGTAGGAAAATGACCAGTCCACTTTATGCAAGAAACAATTTTCAAATGTGAAACATTATTAAAATGAATAAAATAAAATAAAAAACTTGCCAAATTTTGTTTACGTTACATATTTGAAGGATTAATTTGTCACATTTGAAACTATTTTCATTAAAGATATTATATAGTTGACAAGTCTTTGTTGTCACACGTAAAGTAGTGTTTCTAGATTGTTTACTTACTTAACGACGACGTTTTGTTTAATGCCTTGGCCAAAATGAGAAATTGCTTTTTATTTCTACAAGGGCTAAAAAAAAGAATTGAAAATTGAACAATATTTTCTTATTCCAAATTTTAATACAACGAGATTCTGATTTTCCAGTCTCGCTCTAATTTTTTTTTCCAGAAAAATACACTTAAAATATCAATATTAAATAAATTTGGGAGCGAAAAAAGAAGAAAATAAATTATAATTATTACGATTTTAATTTGAATTTCTGTGCAAAACATAGTACTGATAATTTAATTTGAAAATAAAATAAATGTAAAATATTGTGTATGAATATAAAATGGGCAAATGATGACACATGGGTGGGAAATATGGCATGCGATATGAGACAATCCAGCACCACTGCTTTCACAGCTAATCACAATAATTAAGCTCTGCTAATTATGTTTTAAACAAAGAATATTATTATTTAATTTTTCAAAGCAATGACAGAATTTATGGGAAAAAATAAAAGGAAAACTTAAAATTTGAAATAAATTAGAATATTTCTTGGTCTAATAACTGAAAATACAATAACTTTTTTTTTTTAATATATAGCAAATTTTAATTAGTGCAGCTATATATAATTGTGTATGTATAGTTCCACTAGTAGAGTAAATTCACCAACTATGTGACACTAAAAAAAGAAAAAAGAAAAAAGAAAAAAACCTAAAATAAATAAATATGATGTTAGAGTGATGGACAAATGATTCCAACGCCCATCATTATTAATAAATACAAAATACATTAAAATTGACATTTAGGCCCATTTTGTTATTTCGTCACGGGTGCGTCATCATTACATTCGAATCATAACAATATTCATGCTGAATAAGTAAATATTCTATTCATATTTGGACAATCAACATAAATATTTTATTATGCCACTATTCCAACGGCAACTTAAATTTGATATTCTTTTTTTAAATATTCTCTTTTTAGATAGTAGCTAGGCGTTAGATAAATAAATAAATCCTTTTAAATGCATTAGAGATTAAAAAGGAAAAAGTGGGTGGGCATATCGCATTATTTTTCTTCTTCTTTTTGAAAAGTTTATTAGTTTTTATCCATGTTATTTTTTTCGATTCTTTCAAATATTCGTTTAGGATAATAAAATAAATAAAACTCTACTTGTACTCGAATTTAAATCCATCATTACATGTTTGGCTAAACTTATAAACTTTTAAAAATATCTTATAAGTTGTTAAAAATTGTTCGGTGAAATAATTTATTGATCTTAATTTAAGAAAAAAAAATAAAAAAAAATGTTCAATATAAAAAGGGACAAATTTTGTAACCACTTTTCTTTTAAATGTAGCGATTAATTCTTGAATTTAATAAATATAATTATTTCTATTTTAAACTAATGTCATCTTGTATTTACATGATGATCCAAATTTGAATAATAATTTGAAAGATTTACACTACAATAAATAAATAAATAAACAACTCATAAATCATAAAGCAGTTGAAATAAAACAGAAACATCTCAGCCAAATTATGGACTAACAACAGTTAAGACACTTCTTTTGGACTGTTTTAGTGTGAGAGAGAGAGAGAGAGAGAGAGAGAGAGAGAGAGAGAGACACGTGTCCAACATCGAAAGGACAATCTACCAACTGTATATACACAAAAAGCCAAAAGGCACTGCCAAAATTTCAAAAGATCAACAACTGAAGTGGTCACAAAAGCTATGAGCATGATGAAAGAGAAAGCAATGCTTTGTGTTTGAGCCAAACAAAGAGAGATAACAACAATCATCAAGATTAAAGAGGGCCCCACACTTCTAATCAGATATTTCGAGTCTTAACCGAACTAATCATTCAACAATTCTAACGAAAGGGTGGAAATCAAACGGATCAAATAGCAAAAGGTCGAATTAATTACGAGTTTCGATCTGTATCTATACGTGGTACACCACAGCTAACTATAGAAACTATTATACACGACGGAAAAAAAAAAAACCAAGAAAATCGAACAACCTCAAATAAGGAGTCAAGTAATATAGGAGAAACAAATACTAATTATCTTACGAATAGAATACGCATAAGAAGTCGAATATTCATAATCACGGGGCCAAAGGTTCTTGCCTGCTATGTCCGTTGTTAAACCCTTCGTAAGGCTTGGTCGAATTACCGGACTTCTTTTTCCTCCTCAGAACAATAATCCAAGTAATCGCTTCCAATAATAGTGCGATACCTCCAAGAACAGAAATCAAGACAATGTACGCGTTTTTCCATTTGTTTTGAGGTTGCAATATTTCGAAACCTTTGAACACATTGATAATGCCAAGAATGAGAATTCCGTATCCAAATCCGTGATGGTAGATATTCCAGTAAAACCGATACTTGTGGTCCTTTTTGGGTCGCAACAGCAATGCGAATATCTACATGCATACAAAGCCAAATTAATAACAACCGTTTGTTTTATCGAAAACTCAGTATGCAATTTGGAATTCACTTCAAATAGCGATATATGTATCCGCAACTTGATGAAACAATTCAATAGAAATATCAAGAAAATAAAAGTATAAAATCCAGCGAGGCGAGAAAAGGTTGATTTTGGACGTATTCGACGCGATTCAAATAGCAATATACGCAAGTTGATGAAATAACTCTATAAAAAATATCAAGAAATTAAAACGTAAAATCAAGAGAGATCGACTTAAGCAATATCCATTTGTACGTCACAATTTCTTTTTATGAATGAAGTTAAAAACGAATATAATCTAAATATAAAAACCGATTCAAAATGGGACAAAAATTTACCTGCACAGTTGCGAGAGTAAAGAGTGCAATACCGATACTACGATGGGTAGAATAGGTAATTCCCTTCGATTCACTTCCGAGTTTAAGGCCAGTTCCCCAACCAGCAACTCCTATTGCGTAGGCGGAAACTTGACAGAAAATGTGCAGATAAAACCACGATGGATCTGCGGACGGAAATACCCTTACGTACCTTGCTATGATTATCCCAATCGGAAACATAATTCCCCAACTCACAACATTCAGTATTCCATGAATCTGAATTAATTATAACATAAGTTAGTGAAAATTTGAGCATCCCAATTAAATTAATTTCAATACTACTAGCTAAACATCATCAGAAACTAACGAACATTTGTAATAATACGACAAGTGTCCGAAATCGTATCGTTTTGCAGAAGTTATGAACACCACCAATTTTCATTAATTGCAGTACTAACAAAAGGATTGACAAAATCCCATCATCAGAAACTAGTGAATATGTGTAATTAATTGTCAAATTGTCCAAAATTGTAATTAATTTTATATACATAAACATAAACCTAAAAAATAGACTGTTAATTAAATGACTAATTAATTAATTAATTAATTAATTAAACAAATAAAAAGGAAACTCACATTCCTTTTGTTGGCTCTAGAGTTGCCGCCGCCGGCGGGGGCGACGGTGCTCTGTCCTCTCAACAAATCGAGGCTGCCCTTGGAATTCAAATTCGCCGGCTGAAACTCGTGCTTGTCAGGCACACCACCGGTGACGGAGGGGCCGACTTGCCACACCTGGTTCAGGGTAGTCTTCCCCATCTCCGGCAGAACCACGGTGGCGAACAGCCTCATCACCCCGCCGGAGGACTCCGCCGACGAATTCCTGACCTCGTACCACACCTTCGACTCCGTCAGCGGTCCGTACGACGTGACGTTGTAGGTCTTAACCGCCATCCCGCCGTCGGAGTCCTTGAACGCGATGAGCGCCTGAGACCCCACCATGCCGGTGCTGGTAGGGTTGATGGCCCAGGAAATCCAGCCGTCGGGTCGGGCCGGGGCGGCGATAAAGGCGACGGAGAGCTCCGATCGGGTCGGATCGTAGGACCAGTGGAGGTATGAGTTCAGAGATGGGAGATCGTTGCAGAAGGAGTAAAGCTTGTTGGTGGTGGTGGTGAAGGTCTGTGATGTGCACGTGGCCGACTGTGACGGTGAGATTAGAGAAACCACCGCCAGCAGCAGAAATAGGAGTGAAGCTAGGGTTGTACGAGAAGCCGCCATTGATGGGGGGAGGAGAGAGAAAGTGTGTCGAACACAGGAGCGATATTCCGGTTGGTGGTAAATATGTTGGGGAAGAAAGATATTATAGTGTGGACTCGGAAACGCACACACTCAGTGTGTGAGTCAAATTGGGGGAAAATTTAATTGGCTATTATTCCATGTTTATTTTAGGTAAATATGATTTAACTTAGCCATAATTGCATCCTTCTATATTAATGGTTACCAATTAGCTATATAATCGTATGTATGAGATGCTGCACTTGATGATATACGTTCGATGATTCTACACCATCGATCATGCTTATTAAAGAGGTTGGGTCGGTGTATACAAATAACTATTTAATAAATATAATACACGTGGATGTGTATTATTATCTGTAGGTCAATCGTGCAGTGTATTTCACCAGTATTGCATCTACTGAGAAAAAAACACAGTAACCTCACACGGGAGATGAAATTGCATCTAGACATCTAGTACTCAATTTGAAAGTTAGATGTTACGTCTAATTACTTACGATGAATTATTAATTGTAGATGAGGTTAAATAATCTTTTATTGTACCTACATGCACATGGATAAGTGTGATCATGTGCAGATCTAATGTTACAATATAAAATATAATTTCCTTAATCGGTATAACAATATAACTTGAATATTTATTAGTTGGATAATTCCATATATTTCATGAATATAGATTAATTATTTATCATGAAGGATTGTTGTTTTTCCTATTATTTAGTTGGAGAACATTTAAACACCTAAATTATACAAAAACAAAATATATTATGAAGCTGCAATATGGAATTTGAAGTCCGAAAAATACCTATTCACAAAAAAATTGGGCCCAAAATTGAAAGGGCCCGGCCCAAACTATCCTTGCCTTGTAACTTTTTGAATTTTCTGCCGCGAAATTGGGCTTTCAATTATTGAGCCCAACATACGCTTTCATTTCAAATTAATCATCAGTTAATTAAGAATCAAAACATGCATTAAAAAAAGTTAATAGATACCATGAATTAAAAAAAAATACATAATACAATTAAAAATATAAAATATAATAAATATATTTATTGATTTTTTTTCTTTTTCTAAAGCATTAATAGAATTTTATAAAAATGATGAATGCAAAGAATTTGCAGAGGACAAGATCCTACAATTCCTATTCAACAACTGCTACAACAATGCAATTACATCAACTTGCAATAAAACGTCACACTCCCCGATTTTATATAGTTTCGTAAAAACAAGAACTCCCGTACGAAAAAAACAAAAAAAACACGAAAAAATCACCTCGAACAACACGAGAAGACGCCGTTATTTTGCTTAGACAAGTCAACCCCTTTTGCTAGTGTGACTCGATCGACCGATAATTCCGCCTTGTACGAATCCGAATTCAGGATCTTCCGGCTAACTTTATCGTAAATCGCGCGAATGACGATCTCAAACGCCTTCATTACATTTGTAGATTCCAATGCAGAGGTTTCTATGAAGAACAATCCTTCTTCTTCTGCTAAGCTTTTGCCCTCTTCCACACTCACCTCTCTAATTTCTTCCAAATCCGACTTATTCCCGACGAGCATCTTTGCTACCGCAGTATCACAGTGAACTGCACGTCGTTTTAGCAAAATGTTATAGCAATTCAGATACAAGCTATGATAGCTCTATAAATTCCATTTATATCAAAATGTCTCGACAATTTGCACGAATGTAAAGATTGAATTAATTATTTCCGAATCCGAGTTCATCTCTCTCTCGATCGACTTTAAATGAAATTTACGATTGTTAGGTTTCCACCCAACACTAGTTCCATTACTAACAAGGGCAAATTACGGCCACCCCCTGAGTTATGGTCAAACTACGAAACCCCCCTCATGTTTGGATAATTAGAGTCACCCCTCAACTATGTATTATCTTACGAAAATACCCCTCCATAGGTAAATTTAGGGATGTTAAATTGGTAAAACCGAACCGAAATTTCAGCACGCCAACATTTCATATCGTTTACCGAACTGAATATACGATTTGATTCGGTAAATAACCGAATTACATAAATTTTATGTAAAAATATTTGAAAGGAGGGGTGGCTGTAATTACCCAAACAAAGAGGGATTTTTTTCGTAATTCGGCCATATCTTAGGGGTGGCCGTAATTTGCCCTAATAACAATAACAAACCGAAACGCAGTTCCGATGGTTTATTCGGATCGAAGGATTCGAAATTACAAACTTTGAAAAATCGAGAGCTAATAATTCGAAATCCAAACGAAGTTCAACCGATTCGTTATTACATCCACATTCATAAGGTTATTACATCCACTTTCAGACCACATTTAATTAATTAACACCAAGAAATATCATATACAAAACACACATAAACAAGAAATGCAGATACAAATTAAAAAATAAAAATAAATTAATATTGACTGGTATTAATTAAAGGAAAGGGGGGAACATACTATTGAGTTCCTCAAGCCATCGTTTGGTATTCTCGAAGGTGGCCTTTCTGGTGATATCGTAGACAATTAGGGCTCCGACGGCGCCGCGGTAGTAGGCGGAGGTGACGGCGCGGAACCGCTCCTGGCCGGCGGTGTCCCAGACCTGAGCCTTGACCTCCTTGCCGTCGAGCTCCACCACCTGCGTCTGAAACTCGACGCCGATGGTGGCCTTTGAGTTGTGGTCGAATTCATCCCGAGCAAAGCGGGAGAGTAAATTGGATTTACCCACGGCGGAATCGCCGATTACGACTATCTTGAACAAATACTCCTCCCCTCCTCCGCCTTCTCCCTCCGCCGCCATTGTTGGGTTTTCCGATGTGGGTTGTGTGTGTGAGTGTGTGTGAAGATGGGAATGGTGGGGGAAGAAAGAGAGGAAAAAGGTTGGATTTTTATTACACTAGTTTAATGAGTTGAGGTAGAGAAGTGGTGGGGAAGTAAAACACACACACACACTCATTGCGCAATTCACGGGTAAGACTTTCTTTTTTTCTTTTTTCTCTTTCTTTTTTAATTAATCCTAATTTTGACTTTTAATTTGACACTTTTGTGTTAACACTTAGGGGCGATTGGCTAATCGATAAACTAATAAACTATTTTAAGAGCTAATAAGCTGAGATGTTTTATTTTTAACAATCAATTTGTAAAGAGTTTCAATTATGATCTTATAAGTTAATTTTACTCCATAAGATGTTAGATAAAAATGTAGGATAGACTATTGGTTTAAAAGATCTTATTTGTTTTTCAACCGTTTATTTATGAATTTATAAGATTTTGTTTTTTAAATTATCAAATGCGATCTTATAAGCTATTAAATATCTCATAAACTATTAACATCTTATAAGTTTAATCAAATACCGTCTCAATTTATCTTGAATTCACCACTAATTATGGGGCTATGTATAATTTTTCAAACATAAGGAAGCCGGTTGTAATTACCTTAATCTTACAGGAGCTAGGTGCAATTCCACTTTCCTCTAAACACCACTATTTCTCTAAAGAAAATGATTAAGTAACAATGAATACTTCGTGCTACGCACGAATGTAATAAACTAATAATTAGAAATTCTCATCATTCAAAAATTATGAATTTTCCTCTATAAAAAAATCATTAATTTCAGCAAATTTAATCGATACCAAAATCTTTAAATAAATTAGATAATTAATATAGTAATCCCTTTTTCCAGGTAGAAGGGATCTCCTAAAAACCTAATCGATCCGCCGCCATAACCAACTTCACACCACTTCCTCTCTCCGCCACCGCCCTAGCTAACCCCTTCCTCCATCGCGCCGCCCACCGCCCACCACAATCATACTCTAACAAGTAGAATGCAGCTTATCTCCAACTCTCGGTTCCGTTGCCGTAGAATTACGTTGATTTAGGTCTGCGCCAATTTGCGTTCGTCTCTCTCTCTCTATCTGTATTTATTTTTTTCTGCGATGGCGGCAGCCGTTGGATGTTGTTCTTTCCAGGCCACGCATCGAGGTACTTAATTCGAAAGTTCTAAGCATGAGTTACCTTATTTTCATTTTATTATGACTGAGTTTTTTTTTCCGCAAGATCTTCGTATACCGAAAAAAGAAAGGTTTTTGATTTAATTTTAATTTTTTTTAGTATTAACGTTAGGTAATGATGTTGAAATAATTACAAGTGCGCCATCAAATGAAGAAGTATTTACCCTGTATGTTGATGATTATTGATTTGGTCCCAATTTGACTGCATTATGTTTCTTTGGCGCAGCCAGAAAAAAAATGTTTTTTTTTTCTTTTTTGTATGTAACAGTTTCCACTTTTATGATGCAGGAGGTACACGAAAATGGAGGTCACCTAGAGCAGCTGTCATTCCCAATTTTCATCTCCCAATGCGTAGTTACGAAGTTAAAAATCGGTAATTCTCCACCAAAACTTTTTAGCCGATTCGATTATTTTCTTTTTCCATCAAGTGTACTCGTTCCGTATAGTTTTTTTAAGAAAAGATTGTCATCACGGTTGAAGATAGTCGAAATACAACATTTGAGGTTATCAAAGACTAATCTTTTCTGTCAATTTTAGCGTCACTGTTTTCGTATTCTGTCAATTTTAGTGCTCTGTCTCTCTAGCACAAATTCATACAGCTCCGTTTTGTTGGAAATCAAATCCCTAATCACATTAATATGTTATTCCATGAATAATGACTAATGAGGGATCGACTATTAAACTTAGATGATTCTTCTTCTATTACATATTGGTGTGAAGTATTCATTTGTGGGATGGATGAAATATTGTGCACATATACAAAAATATCGCATAACATCATTACCTACCTTTTGCAGGACTAATGTTGATGAAATAAAGGCCCTCCGACTGATAACCGCAATCAAAACCCCATACCTCCCAGACGGCCGATTCGACCTAGAAGCCTACGACTCCCTAATCCACATGCAAATCGAGGGCGGCGCTGAGGCGGTGATTGTGGGCGGCACAACCGGCGAGGGCCAGCTAATGAGCTGGGACGAGCACATCATGCTAATCGGACACACCGTCAACTGCTTCGGCAACACCCTCAAGGTCATCGGAAACACCGGCAGCAACTCCACCCGAGAAGCCATACACGCCACCGAGCAAGGCTTTGCCGTCGGAATGCACGCAGCGCTCCACATCAATCCTTACTACGGCAAAACATCCTTTGACGGTTTGGTCGCCCACTTCAACACCGTCCTCCACATGGGGCCCACGATAATCTACAACGTCCCATCAAGAACCGGACAGGACATACCGCCAGGTGTCGTCCAGAAATTGGCCCGGAGTCCGAACTTGGCGGGGGTTAAGGAATGCGTTGGAAATGATAGGGTGGAGGAGTACACGAGGAACGGGGTGGTTGTTTGGAGTGGTAACGATGACCAGTGTCATGATTCGAGGTGGGATTATGGAGCAAATGGAGTGATTTCGGTGACGAGTAATTTAGTACCTGGTTTGATGAGACAACTTATGTTTGGTGGAAAGAACATTCGTCTGAATTCAAAGGTTATGCCTTTAGTGGAGTGGCTTTTTCAAGAACCGAATCCGATTGGTTTGAATACGGCTCTTGCTCAACTAGGTGTCGTTAGGCCGATTTTCCGTTTGCCGTATGTACCCCTACCTTTGGAGAAGAGGATGGAGTTTGTTAATATCGTTAAAGAAATCGGGAGAGAGAATTTTATCGGAGAGGAAGATGTTCGAGTAATGGACGACGATGACTTCATTTTGATCCGCCGGTATTAGCTATGGGGGCAGATTGGTAATTTCACTTCTCATGAATAATAATTTCAGCATACTTTTGCATGAAGATCTCAAGTCAAAGTCAAATGTGTGTCCCATATGATATTTTTCGAGAGTACCCTTTTGTCATGTGACTATGTGAGTGTGTCACTTAATGCAGCAACTATTGTTGAATCTTGAAATTTTATACATATGGACCATACTATAGTTAGGAAGATAGGTTGATGTATAATGGTATAGAGTCTACTATTTTTTATTGAGGATTTGTTTTTTCTTTTTTTAATCCCAATTTTCGATATATCGATTTTTGATTTTTCCGATTTTTTTAGAATAATACAATTGGTTATAAATTGTCGTTTTCGAATTCGAAAAATGCCGGTGCTATTCAATTCCACTCCTAGTGGCTGATGACTGAGTCAAGAAAGTCTGCTACAAAACCCCTTATATATATAATCACTATTTAAAAGCTATGTATCTATCCCATTATGTATGCAACTTTTTCTTACAGCAAAACCATGAATCTACTATCCATTACTCTCTCTCTTCTCTCTCTCCTCCACATCTGCACAGCACAATCTGCAGATCCTGCTGCTTACTCCTGCAATCCAAACAGCAAAACAAACAGTAGCAACAACCAAATCAAAACCCTTTTGGACAACCTAGTATCAGGCACCATCCAACGTGGCTTCATCTCGACCGTCCAAGGTGCGGGCGGTAAAAACCAAATCTACGGTTTAGCTCAATGCAGAGGTGACGTCAGCAAAAACGACTGCTCGACCTGCATAAACGACGCAGCTAAAAACATCCTCAAATTATGTCCCGGCCAATCGGACGCCAGGATTTGGTACGATTTTTGCTTCTTGAGGTACGGGAGGTCGAATTTCTTCGGACAAGTGGATACTTCCGGATTCTTCCTGATCAACGTCCAGAATGTCACAGATGCCGCCATTTTCAATAAGAAATTGGCGGCACTGATGAACAAGGTCGGCTCGCGGGCCCCAAAGCCCGCGAGCCGAGGGCTGGGGAAGGGGAAGAGCGACGTGTCGCCTTTCGATAGGCTCTACGGTTTGGTGCAGTGCACCAGAGATCTATCGGAGTTGGCGTGCGCGCAGTGTGCTTCGATTGCTATTGGCAATCTTCCGATTGTTTGCGGCGATAAGAGAGGGTGTAGAGTGTTGTATGGCAGTTGCTATGTTAGGTATGAATTGTATCCATTTTTCTTTCCACTTGAAGCAAAAGAGTCAATTCAGCACCATACTGTGAACTATAAGTCGGTATTGGCTTTCAATCCTTGATGGGTTTTTTTTTTCGTATTAGAGGGTCGTTTGGTTGGGGAGATAATAATGTAATTGGACTTTATTTGGTGTTTCGTGTTTCGTTTGTCGAATACTTATCTTGGCCTTTTGTGATTCCGGTTCTATTTCAAAATGTTCTTTTTACCCGGGAAAAAAGTTAAAATCATAATTTTGGAAAATCGGAACGGGAAAACTAGTTACATAATTGAAAATTTTCGAATTCGAATCGTCAAAATTCGGATATTTTTTTAATACACAATACTATTAATACAAAATAGTTCATTTAAAAAATGGAATTTCTTTAATTATTTTCGGAAATTAAAATCATAGTGGAAATTGTATATCCATATCGTATATATTTCCAATGTCGATCCAAAAGACTCAGAAAAATCGTAAATTGGAACTTCTAGCAAAGGAAATCGTTCCAAACTAGAAAAAATCGGATCAAAATCAACCTTAATCAACCAAATCCAAGAGTCTTGTATGTTAACCAAATCTTCATTTCATTGTATATATCAGTACACACACACACACACTGTATATACAAGGATATCCCATTGGGATTTATTGTCACAATTTGCTATCTACATAAGTACAAATAATGTGTGTGTGTGTGTGTAATGTAATAGAAACTTTATTACAACTTTTTTAATACAGCTTAATTGTTAGCTTTCCCAAAACTTATGGGAAATGGAACAGCATCTCTAACATCATTAAGACCAGTTGCATAAAGAACCAATGGATCAAACAAAAAGCTGAATCCACTGCATTTTACAGCTCCATGCTTTTTCAGATCTAAGTACCACTCATATTCCTCTTTCTTCACACCCAACTCCTTCATCCTGCCATTATTTATTAAAAAAAAATTAAATTATATATACATATATATGTGTGTGTGTGTGTGTGTGTGAGTGTGTGTGTTTCTTGATAAGTAAAGTGAGTTATCACCTTGTGATTAACATATTAAAGCGTTCTTCGTTTTGGCTACCTCTTATCAGAGCTCCAACCTGAATTTACAAATTAATAAGCTACATTTTCAGATTATATGATACTATTTTATTTATTTTATTTTAGTTTAGTTTAGTTTTTAAATACCTTTGGTAGAATTACATCGAAAGCTGCAGCTGTTTTTCCGTCGTCGTTGGAACGAACATAGAACGGCTTCGTTTCTTTCGGATGGTTGTATATAATGACAAGTTTCTTGTATATTTCTTCTGTTAAGTAGCTGCAAATTTTAAACAACAATTTAAGGTTAATCTATATATAATTATAATGTGTATATAATATATATATATATATATATATATATATATATATATATATATACACATATATATATATACATCCAATCTTATAATGCATATATAATATGGATATACCTTTCATGTTCTTCGTTAAGAGTAACACCCCATTCGACTTTCGTCTCGAATTTTCCCTCCGGCGCCTGTTTTATAAGGACAACCGAAATTTAGAAGATAAAACAAATCTTTGTAAAAAAATAATCTTTTTTTTGTTAGGACAGAGTTTTTACCTGCTTCAAAACTTCAACTGCTTCTGTGTAAGAAATCTTTTCAATTGGTCCTAATGCGATCGATTGAAGTCGATCCACCACAAGCTTATCGACACGTTTAGAGACGAATTTCAGATCTTCGGTGCAATTTTCCAATATCCATTTGCAAATAAACTTCAAGAAGTCAATTGCACACTCCATAGAATCCTGAAAAAAAAAAATTGCACCAATATTTATAAGTAACATGCATGCAATAATATAATGTACAAATAGAAAATAAAAAATAAATAAATAAATAAACCTCAATTTCGGAGAAAGCCATTTCGATCTCAACCGACCACATCTCGGCCAACAATTTCCTCGAATCGGATCTCTCCGCACGAAACCTCGGCCCGAAAGAGTAAACATTCCCAAGGGCAGAAGCGTAGCTTTCCAAATGCATTCTTCCCGAGCCCGTTAAATACATCTTGCTAGAAAAGAAATCATCACTTTTTTGGACAATTTTGCCCCCATGTTTTTGCCTTTGTTCGTTAGCTTCCAACTGCGAAACTAACTCATTTGTTTTCTTTAGGTCATGAATAGCAACAGCAAGAGCTTCTTTATTGCTCTCTGTTCTTCCGAGTTCTTCGATTTTCTTCGTTTTTTCTTTAATGGAAGCCTTTATAGTTTCGAGTTTTACACCTTCGGTTTTGTACTCGTCCTTTTCTTGATCATCTAACAAAAGGGTCGTCACTTGGAAATTTTTATTACCTAATCCCTCACAATTGTTTATGCTAGTGATTATCGGCACTTGCACGTATACGAATCCGTTTTCTTGAAAGAATGTATATATTCCTTGTGTTAGCCCATCTCTTATTCTCATCACGGATGCCACCTTAAAAACAAAAGTTTAAAAAAAAATATATGAATTATTGGAAATATATATTAGCATTGAAATAGTGTTAATTAGTTACCGTTGTTGTGCGTGGTCGAAAATGGGTGGAATCGCGCAGTGATTCGAGGGGCAAGCGTTTCTTGGATAAAGGGTATTTATCTTGATCGACTGTGCCGATGTGAAGAACTTTTTCGGTTTTGAGCTCGATTACTTCTTTATTATCTAGAGATGGTTTTTGCAATATTCCTTCGACTAATATACAACTTCCGGTCGGCATTACGTGACTCGGATGAGCCATCGATGAATCCACCAAGATCTGATATTCATATAATCCATCAACACAAATACAATTTCATACCAAAAGTTCTAACTTTTCTAGTAATTTTGATTAAAAAAAAAAGGCGGGTTTATTGCATTTAGCTCCCATGAATTATGCCGAATTGCAAAATATAACACCTTGTGTTATAAATATTGGCAAACAACACCATTATGAAGCATTTTTTTTAGTACACTGTTTCTAAAATGGTGCATTTTTCGGGGTTGGTTTGCTAATATTTATAACGCAAGGTGTTTTTTAGCAATTCAATTATGCAATAAACCCCGAAAAAGTTCTAAAGAATCAACACAAACACGAAAACCATAGCAAAAGTTCTACTTTCGAGTAATTTTGATCAAGAAAGGCTTAGATTGAAAAAAGACCTAAAGAAGATGAAATATATATAACATACCCGAAGACTAGAAACGCAAGATCCATCGCTAACTTGCAAGATCGAAATCGAGGGTTGTGGTGGCGGCTTAGGGATAATAGCGTCCAATTTGTCGCGTAAATTACGGGTTTCCCCACCAAAAACTTTAATGATGGATCGAAAAAACGGGAGCTTACTTTGAAGAACTTCAACACACGTGAAATCTCTAGTCCCTCCAATATTATGAGCTGGCTGCACCGTCGGCAAAGGCTCTTTTCTAAACTCGCGAGAGGACTTAACCCATCCTCCGACCACTACTCTCTGCCCGACCAATCCTAAGCCGCCATCCGACCGACTTACGATGGATTTCAAGATGACCCTTTTCGAGTACTTTGAAAGGCGTAATGGGGATTCAAGAGGGGCTTGTTCCGAAGCCATTTTTCGAGATGAGAAAATTGGAAAAAGATTGATTTTTTTTTTCTTTTAGCAAGATATTGTGTTTGAGTTGGAGAAGTTAATGGGATTGTGGGTAGGATTAAGATTGGGATTAGGGTTATATATATGTATAATTGGAAGAGAAAATTGATGCTTTGCTTGGGAAGATTGTTGGAAGGATTAATGGTGATGGGATTGAGAAGATTGAGGGAGAAGGGGAAGGGATTGTTTGGGATGGAGGGAAATTTGGTCTTCTTCTTAACTTGGAAATTCGCGGGAGTTTTCATATTCCTTTTATAACCGTTTTTATTAATGTTTTATTCAATTTGTTTATCTTTTCTTTTGAATATCTAAATAATGATGGGTCAATGTAGAAATTAGGCTCATCTGATTGAAACTAGTACTTTCAGTGAAATTTTTCCGAACTGAAAAACTAGTTCCGAATTTTTTTGAAAAAAATCCGAATTTTCGAAAATATTATGAAAAATTCGAATATGAATAATTTCAAAAAAAAAAAAAGTCGATTTTTCAAAATTTCCGAAAAAATTAGAATCGAAATCAATTCTTGAATTCCGAAAAACATTGAATTTTTTTCCGAAAGGGTCAAATCCAATCCGTCTGATTTTCACAAAAAAGAAAATGATGAAGTAGAATCACTTTTTTTAGGAGGCGTTTGGATTTATTTATTTATTTAACATGAATCGATAATGTGGGCTCATTACAGTTAAACCTCTATAAATTAATACAGGCGGGAGTAGGGAAATTCTATTAATTTAAGGAATTATTAAATTATCGAGTTAATAATTTAACACGTTTTCACCGAATCGGGATCGAGAGAAACTATTATTTAATTGTGGTTATTAATTTATCGAGTTTCTACTGTAATTTTTTCTTTTGAATAACGTGGGCTCATTATTAATTTTCTTTTAATATGTCAAAGTATATTTAGGATTCTCATATTATAGAGATTTGTTTAGATGGGGAGATCTAGTTAGATATTGTAACTAGCCTTATATTTCTTGTTATAAATAGGCGACAACATAAGATACAAATAAAAAAAACAAAAAGTTCAATCAAATATCAAAAAGGGAAAAGAAAAAACCCTAACTCTCGATCTCATACATACCAATTGCAGGTAAACATAAATTTTCGATGAATCCATTAACATTGGTAAAGCGAATTCAGAACATAAACAAACAAGAATCGAGTTTCGGAATCTCCGAAGATGCGTCATGGCATGCTAACTACAAAGATTCGGCTTATATCTACGTCGGCCGCATCCCGTCCGAGTTCACCGAAGGCGATCTGGCTGCGATCTTTGCTCAATTCGGGGAAATCGTCGACGTCAACTTAGTCAGATACAAACGTACCGGAAAATCCAAATGCTTTGCGTTTGTCGCGTACGAGGATCAAAGGAGCACTATTCTCGCCGTAGACAATCTAAACGGAGCTCAAATTTCCGGCCGTACGATTAGGGTCGATCACGTTACCGATTACAAGAAACTAGAGGAAGAGAAAGACTAGCTAGATCTATGTTTTTTTTTTTTTTTTTGTTATTTATTAATATTTATGATATTGTAAGAATGATATTTTTTTCCAAGTATTTTTAATAAAAAAAATATATTTAAAATTCTTTTTTTTTTTGGGGATTTTTCTATTGGAGCCATATCATTGGTGTTCAGCTTTATTGGTAGGCCCCAAGGCATCTCTAGTATGTATACAAAGGAATCAAAGAATAATGAACTGAAATTATTTTATTTAGTATGCTGACATTATTTATAACATCATCTTGTCCCTTTCTATTTATTTTTTCTTTTTTTGACAAAAATTATATCTTCAGACAAAAATATTCTTAAATATTGATATAATTTAAAAATATTGTAATTTATATCATTTCCCATCATTTAACAATTCATGTGCTGGAATGGTCAAAAAAATTGAAAAGATACTGTACAAGATTTTGTATGTCTATGGAATTTTCTAGCATTTGCATGTATATATATTTTGAAATTATATTATTATTTTTTTTTTGTCAGTTGGGGACCTCTTTTTTTTTTTTTTTTTTTTTAAATAAAGAAATTAATTGAATTGCAGGAGTGCTGCATATTTAGCCATTCTATCTGCATATGGTCAGTATTCAACCACAGCCCTATTCTCCTTCCATTTATTTCCACTCTCTTCCTATCTTTTTATTCTCTTTCCCCCATATCCTTTCTCCTTTCGGCTAACATTCTTTTTTCACTTACAAATTAGGCAAAATATATATAAATAAATAAACAAACAAAAAAAAAGATGGCAAATGTGAAGCATCTCAAGTTTCAATTCCTCTTACTCGCATTCTTTTTCGCAGCAGCACTCGTACAAGGTTCCGTTTATCGGCTCTTTTTTTTTCTGTTAAAACCCTTTTATTTATTCTTGCTACTAATCGTTTTTTTTATCTTTTCGTTTTTTTATTAGTATATGCTGGTTTTTTTTCTATGTTTAGTGCATTAGTTTTGGACCTCACATGCAGACATTATAGCTTAGAAAAGAGATTCTATGTAACAATATATATAATTTTTTTTTTTAATTTAAATGCATATATATATATGACAAACTAGCTCAAATCTTGTGTAATTCACTTTAAAAATTTATCTACATGTTAACCAACTCTAAAATATTCTTACAGAAGCCAGGGGGTCCAGAATTCATGCCACACTTCATAATTATCCGACAGGTTATCGACTTTCATCAGCCGAAACAGAAACACACCTCAAGGTCAGAAAAAAAAAATTGATATTGTTTTAAGTTTTTCTATCAATGTGGGATAAATTGAAAAAAAAAACTCGTCCTTCGATTTTTATTTTATTTTGGTAATGAAAATTGGCAGGATAAGTCGAAAAGATTACTGATTGGATCGGTAGCACCGACATGTACTTACAACGAATGCAGAGGTTGTAAGTATAAGTGCAGAGCAGAGCAAGTTCCAGTTGAAGGCAATGATCCTATTAACAGTGCTTATCACTACAAATGTGTATGCCATAGGTAATAATTTTTTTCACTGCAAAAAGTATTAAATTTTTGGTCCTAAGTTGTAGAAATATGATGGAGAGACAGACCCTTGTTCCCTTCAATTTTCAATACGAAGATAGATTATTATTTTATTTTTTTGTCGAGAGTACCGATTTTTTGTCACAATTCATATGCAACAGTTTCGAAATTTTCTCTTATGCATACTTAGAAATTGGAAGACAAAAGAAAAAAAAAATAAAAAATAAAAAATCAATAAATTCATGAGATTACCACTTTATTTACAGATAGAGAAGCAAATGACAGCCTCATATGGAAGAAAATAAATAAATAAATAATATTATTATTTGCATTTCACGACAAAGCAAAGTTTGCGAAAAAAAAAATGTTTTTACCGGTAAGAGGAAAAAAATGAAGTATGAGCACTATTACTGCAGTTAGTCACATGTAATGTAAGTGGTCCCAAAAAAATGGTGAATTAGGCAACAAAGGAGCACATGGCCGAACCCTGTTTGAACCCACGTATGATGCACAAAATGGTATACAAGATATCGATAAGCATTTTGGTCCCATTGTACAACAAATTTGTAACAATCTCACCTATTCAGAATCTTCTTGCATTTCAAAAAAAAAAAAATGAACGATACAAAACGGAAACTAATATGCCATTAAAGGTGGAAAATGTGTGCAACTAGACATCATATCATTCACAATAATACGATCTCGTGTTTTTACATGAATTAAAGAACTACATGTGTCGTCCCAGCATTTGGGAGTACGTTTTTTCTCAAACATTAAACAGTTAATTACAGAACTTACAATTGGGCGACCGCAAGCCAAGTAGTTGTTTGCAATTCTTCTCCAAAAACGAAAAAAAAACTGTTCATTTTTGTCACTTCATTAAGTGAGAAGTTCGGAATTCGACAAAAGTTTAGATTCTATGAGGATGAAGGTGGAGATGGTGAAGAAGACACTACAGCGTGATAAGACGAAGATGCAAGTTGAGCTAGTGCTGGAATGGACCCACCTACACAGAATTAGCACTAGTGAGCCAATCGAGTTACACAAACCAAGTTAAGCAATGAACTAGAAACGAAGCTTGTAACCAAGTTTATAATTAATTTATTCCAATTAAGCAGAAAAAAGTAACTAATGATCAATTGGGAAAAAATAAACTCGTACCTATTTATCCTATTTTACTATAATATTTTAAATTTATTTTTTGTTTCAAGTCTAATCTTCTGATAACTTATTAGTAGACCAAATATTTTATAAGCAGGAATATGTATATCAGTACCAAGTGTCAGTTCAGTGGAGAGAATGTATAATTACCTGCTAACCCAGCACACCCTGATGAGAAAATCATAACAGGTGGGGCCTGCATCAATAAAAGATAATTCAGAAAATCGAACAAAACATTATCACTCACTAATACAAACCAAGGGACTCCAAACAACAGATAGGGATGCCGATTGCATTTTTCATATGAAAAATAACCCAGTTACCGAGGGGAATCTAACTCGTATATTCCTGTTCTTCGAGCGCTGGTTAGAAGAAAAAATTGATTAACTGAAAATGCAACCTCTCAGGAAATGTCTGAGGCTTTCGTTAGAAGAAAAATTGTAAATTTTGTTTGTCATGCCTATAACCGATTGTAGAAGATTGACGTTATGGAATAAGCCATTGTGAAACATAAAAGAATTGTACTTAAGTTATAATCAATTCCCTACTTGAAATAACGAAACAAAGAAAATATCACTACTAAATCTGAAATGTTGATGGAGATCATAATCCAATCGGCTGCCATAATACAAAAGGGGAGCAAAAGGGAGAAACAAACTCCGACAACAGATGGCAATATTGAAACACTTACACCAATCAGGAAATGCACCCACATAGGTCCTTTAATCCACCTCTTAACAACTGGCATAGCTGCAGAAGTATTCAGACATGAGATATTACATGAGTTTATTCTTCATCATGTAAATCGTGCCACTCAGCAGGGAAAAGAAAAAAGATTCTTAAATGCAAATACAAAGATTCCAATAGTGAAGTGTAATCAACATCGAGGAATTGATAGCAGAATACCATTAGATGTCTTGTAGTCTGCATAATGATATATAAAGAACAGTATCTACTAGGTTCTCGTAGCTCTTTCTTTCAAACATTATTACGATATGGTAATGATTGTACGTACAT